GGGGAACATCAGTCTACGCTAGCACAGATGCTTGCAGAGAGCCTCTGTGTGGGTCTGACCGGGGACCCGATGAGTGGGCTGTCCCGACAATTTCTGCCTTCCAGCTGCATCGCTCGAACCACGTCTCTTAGGGGGCGCTCTGCTTTTCCCCCACCCTCCTCTCTGTCTTGTTCCTAGGGTGACAGTATCCTACACAAGATATCGCCTTGGCCCAGCGAACAAACACATGCACCACCACATGTGACAAGCTAGAAAGGGAACGTCAGCTGTGTGTCATAGGCCCTGTACTGCCAGCAGCTAATGGGGATTTTCTTTGTGTCCCGGCATGTGGGCTTTTGGACTAGAACTACTCAGGCTCTACCCCTTCTGTCGCCGGGAAGTTCAGAATGGCCACCGCGTGCAACATCTAAGCAGACGCGTTATATACCAGCCTGTTTACTTTGGCCTGCAGCTCCCTTCGCAGGCCACAGGAATCTCATAAATAAATTAATCGGTGGGTTGGGAGGTGCCTTGCGTAAGAACTAATTCTCAAGGACATTGGCAGGGCAAATATGTTGGAAAGCAAATTGTGCTGGCTCCTTTCAGCTGGTAAATTTCCAGTCTGCTTCTCTGCGCACCTGCACCCTGTGTCCTCATGGATGCCCGTGTTTGGTGCACACTCTGCAACAGTGTAAATGAAGCCACGTGACACGGGGCCACGGTGAACTAGATCCCGGCTTGCACAGCTTCTGCAGCCGGCACTTTCTCTCCTCTGCTGTGTTGATCTTCCCAGAACAGGAGAGAATCTAACGTTAAATGTTGTAACCTTCCACTAAAGCAAAAGGATTCTAATCTCCGAGCCTGGCTCCAGGGTTCCTGCGACCTAAATTATCATAAAACTCGCTGGCTAATGATTTGGGCCTATATGTTATAAAGGGGTCTAGATCTTATAAAGTTTGCGGATGATACCAAGCTGGGAGAGGTTCCCACTGCTTCGGAGGAGAGGGTCAGAATTCAAAATGATCAGGACATACTGGAGAAATGGTCGGAAGTAAACAGGATGACGTTTAATAAGGACAGATGCACTGAGGAAGGAACAATCCGTGTCGCACACACAGAATGGGAAGTGACCGTCTAGGAAGGAGTACGGCAGACAGAGATCCGAGGGTCCAACTGGACCACAAGCTACATAGGAGTCCACAGTGGGACACCGTTGCAAAAAAAGCCAACAGGATTCTGGGAGGCACGAACAGGAGTGTTGTGAGCAAAACCTGAGGAGTCCTTCCGCTTTATCCTGCGCTCATTAGGCCTCAGTGGGAGTTTTGTGTCCAGTTCTGGGCACCACGTTCCAAGAAAGTTGTGGAGAAATTGGAGAAGGTCCAGAGAAGAGCAACAAAAATGATGAAAGGTTCAGAGAACATGAGCTAGGAGGGAAGGCTGAAAGAATTCGGTTTGTTTAGTTTGGAAAAGAGAAGACGGAGAGGGGACAGGAGAGCGGTTTTCAAGTACCTGAAAGGGTGTCACAGGGAGGAGGGAGAAACATTTTTCTCCTTGACCTCTGAAGACAGGACAAGAAGCAATGGGCTTAAATTGCAGCAAGGGAGGGTTAGGTTGGACATTAGGAAAAACTCCCCACCTGTCGGGGTGGTTAAACACTGGACTAAATTGCCTAGGGGGGTTGTGGAGTCTCCATCCCTGGAGATATCTAATAGCAGGTTAGACAGACGTCTATCAGGGAGGGTCTAGACGGTGCTTGGTCCTGCCGTGAGGGCAGGGGATGGGACACGATGACCTCTCGAGGTCCCTTCCCGTTCTAGGATTCTGTGACTTCACTGCTGGTCGTCGTGGTGCTTGATTCAAGCCGGCATCGCGCCTCCCACGACCATGTCGACACGCAACCCAGAGGGGGCCGCATGAGTGGCGGTGCATGGGTCAATCAGCGGGCAGCACTGGGGTGAATCCGGAAGATGCTAGCGCCTCTCCCCTCTGTCGCTGTGGAGGTCAGAGGGGTGACAGGTTGCAGCATCTGGGATCAAGTCCCTCTCCTTAAAGCCCGCCATTGTGTCAGTGAGGCCTGCGCCCAGGGGCCGGGCCGATTGTGGGGCCCCAGAAAAATAGACATTGCTGTGTCCCGACCCACTGTTCCCAGCACTACAACCAGAGTGGGGTCCGGGCATGGGGTCGTGTGGCAAGAACGCTGGTGGGACCTCATGCCCCTAACTCCATTTCTATGGCAGGAGCACGGGTGGGGGGAGCTGCAGGTGGAAAGGGAAGCAGTGTTCCCTGTAAGATGAGCACTTGGAGAGATTCAGGTACCGCTCAGCTGATTCACAGAGCACCCACAGCCTGTTTCTATGGGTGGTGCACATCCACACCTGCCTCGGTGCATGGAACAAAGTTTATTCCACACATATCAGAATTCGAGGGCGCATTGGTAGGGAACAGCTCCCCCTTGCTCCGGCCCAGGGTCCCTCAAAACCCTCATTTTCCCCTGCACACGTGCAAAAGTGATGTTGTTGACTCAGGCAATAAGGAACCGGAAGGCAAAGGGGATGTGGGAAGAGCAG